GGGTCAGGCCAGCCAGGCTAAACAGCCTGCTCCCCCGGTGCCACAGCAGGTGCAGTGGCACTGGGCACCGTCGCAATGGTACCAGTGGGCACCGCCAGCCTCCTCACCCTCCCATGATGAGGCGATTACGGCTCCTCCTCCCTCCATCCGCAGGAGGACTCTAAGTCCCACCAAGAACTATTAAAAAGGGTGGCATCAAGCCTCAACCTCCAGGCAGAGAAGGTGGAGGAGCCCTTGGACTCTCCGCTTAACGTACTGTCCGTCTCGGTACCAAGCAGGTGGCCTTGCCTCTCCAAGAAGGGGTGGCGAAAATTTCTAATGCCCTGAGGCAAACCCCGGCCTCATTGGCCCCCATCTCTAAGAGAGCAGAACGCAAGTATTTTGTGCCCACCAAGGGGCATGAATACCTATACACCCACTCTGCCCCTCACTCCCTGGTGGTCGAGTTGGTCAACCACAGGGAGCAGCAGGGCCAACGAACCCCTACTCCGAAAAATAAAGATTCAAGGAGGATGGACTCATTTGGAAGGAAAATTTATTCATCCTCGAGCTTCCAGTTATGCATGGCGAACCATCAGGCTCTCCTGGGCTGGTATAAATTCAACCTCTGGGGCTCTTTGCCCAAGTTCGAGGACTCCCTCCAGGAGCGCAACAGTAAGGAATTCAAAGCGCTGGTGGAGGAGGGTACAGGCTGCCAGGGCAACCCTGCAGGCAGTGTTGGATGTGGTGGACACGGCCACATGGTCCATGGCCTCCGCGGTGTCCATGAGAAAGGCGTCATGGCACCTGCTCTCTGGGCTGTCCAGTGAGGCGCAGACCTCCTTGCAGGACCTCCCGTTTGACGGCAAAGCTCTGTTTGCGGAACAAACGGATATAAAACTGCATGGCCTGAAAGACTCCCGTACGACACTTCAGACTCTGGGCTTCTATGTTCCGGCTCCGGCTAAACCTAAGTTTAAGCCGCAGCAGGCTCCTGCCCAGGCTGCCCACTGTAAATATGAGCCCGCCTATAAAAAGTCACGGGACTATAAGAAATGCCCGCAGAGGCAGTCTCGGCCTGCCCCCCAGCCTGGGTCCTCCAAGGGCAAACAGGCAGGGAAACAGCAGTTTTTACAGGATGCCCAGGGGCGCCTGCCAGTTCTCATCAGGGATCCACCCACAATAAAACTTCCCTTCTCCAACCGGTTGTGTGCTTTCCTCCCGGAGTGGTCGCGGCTGCCCTCGGACCGATGGATCCTCAACACCACCTCCCGGGATTACACCCTCCAGTTTACCTCCACCCTGCCCAACCACCCTCCGCCCCCGTCCCTCCTGGGGGACCCCTCTCACGAGGCTCTGCTCGAGCAGGAGGTGGGGCAGCTCCTTGGCCTAGGAACGGTGGAAGTGGTGCCAGTGGAGTTCAAACACAAGGGGTACTACTCCCTCTATTTCCTTATCCCGAAGGCCAAAGGGGGGCTGAGGCCCATCCTGGACCTGCGAGGCCTGAACCAGTACACGGTGAAGCTCAAGTTCCGCATGATCTCCCTGGCCTCTATCATTCCTCCATGGATCCCAGGGACTGGTACGCTGCCCTCGATCTGCAGGACGCATACTTCCACATCCATATATTTGAGGGGCACAGACGCTTCCTCCGTTTCACGGTTGGGCAGGAGCATTACCAATTTATGGTGCTCCCATTTGGCCTGTCCACTGCCCCCAGGGTATTTACAAAGTGTACGTCGGTGGTGGCGGCCTACCTCAGGCGCCATGGGGTCAATATCTTCCCCTATCTGGACGACTGGCTGGTCAAGGGCAGCTCCCGGTCGCAGGGCAGCTCCTTCTGTCCACGTGCGCCACTTTGGGCCTGTTGGTAAACAACACCAAGTCCACGTTAGTCCCGGTACAATGCATAGAGTTTATCGGGGCGGTCCTGGACGCCACGTCGGCCAGAGCCTCGGGACAGATTCGAGACCCTGAAAGGGCTCATCGACACGGTCACAAGGTTTCCAGTGACAACAGCCAGAGCGTGCCTCCAGCTCTTGGGTCACATGTCAGCGTGCACATATGTGGTCTGCCACGCCAGACTCAGGATGACGCCCCTCCAGCTCTGATTGGCCTTGGCATTCTCCCAGGCCAGAGACAGGATGGACAAAGTCATCACTGTGCCCCAACCGGTGATTGCCTCCCTACAATGGTGGTCCTCCCCAGGGAACATGCTCCACGGGGTCCCGTTCAGAGGCAGGCCTCCATCGATGGAATTGGTGTCCAATGCATCGGACCTGGGGTAGGGAGCCCATGTGGGGGACGTTCAGACCCAAGGTCTGTGGTCTACGCAGGACCTGGCCCTCCACATAAACATCAAGGAGCTCAGGGTGGTGCGGCTGGTGTGCATGGCCTTCCGCTCGCACCTGGAGGGCCGTGTCGTCAGGGTTCTCATGGACAACACGGCCTCGATGTTTTACATCAACAGGCAAGGCAGGACCCGATCCTCTGCCAGGAAGCCCTCAGGCTGTGGGACTTCTGTATAGTCCACGTCATTTGCCTGCAGGCCTACTATCTGCCGGGCTGGGATGGGGTGCTATCTCCGATGCCTGACTCCTGTCCTGGTCGGGCCAGTTTCTCTATGCCTTCCCCTCATTCCCACTGATAGGCAAGGTCCTGGAAAAGATAAAGACGGACAGGGCCCGGGTCCTACTGATTGCCCCGACATGGCCTAGGCAGCATTGGTACGGGACCCTCATGGGCCTAGCGGTCGCCCCGTCATGGCCGTTGCCGTCCCGCCCAAACCTGCTCTCCCAGGACCAGGGCCGTCTCCTCCACCCCAACCTCGCGGCACTCCACCTCACAGCGTGGCTGCTCAATGGTTAAGCCGGGAGGAGTGGACATGCTCGGAAGGGGTTCAGCGCGTCCTCTTGGAAAGCAGGCGACCCTCCACGCACCGAGCCTACTTGGCAAAGTGGTCTCGGTTCCCCTGATGGGCGGATGAGCGGGGTGTTTCCCCCGTGGTTGCCCTGATCCAGCTCATTTTGGACTACCTCCTTCACCTTAGAGCCCAGGACCTGGCGCTCTCGTCCATCAAGGTGGACTTGGCAGCCATATCGGCCTTCCACCCGCTGGTGCAGGGCCACACAGTATTCTCCCATGCTATGACTGGCCAATTCCTTAAGGGATTAGATCATCTCTTCCCGTACGTCAGGCCCCCAGTCCCACAGTGGGACCTGAACCTGGTGCTGGCCCGCCACACGGGCCCCGTTTGAGCCGCTAGCTACGTGCTCCTAGTCGCACTTCTCGTGGAAGGTAGCCTTCCTGGTGGCGATCACGTCGGCTAAGCGGGTCTCGGAACTCAGGGCCCTGAACTCCAAGCCCCCGTACACGGTGTTCCATAAGGATACGGTCCAGCTCCGCCCACATCCTTCATTCCTCCCGAAGGTGGTCTCTGCCTACCACGTGGGTCAGGACATTTTCCTGCCGGTCCTCTGCCCCAAGCCCCATGCGTCTAGTGAGGAGTGCCACCTCCACACGCTGGATGTGCAACGGGCTCTGGCTTTCTACCTGGAGCGGACAAAACCGTTCAGAAAGTCCTTGCAGCTGTTCATCGCCTCGGCCGAACGCATAATTGTCGGCCGATCTCCACTCAGCGACTCTCCAACTGGATCACATCATATATCCGTACCTGTTATGACCTGCGGGAATCCCCCCGCCGTCAATTGTGAGGGCACATTCGACTAGGGCGCAGGCCTTGTTGGCTGCCTTTTTGGCCCATGTCCCCATCCAGGACATTTGTAGGGCTTCTACATGGTCTTCAATTCATACTTTCATCTCGCATTATGCGATCATCTCCCAAGCCAGGGAGGACGCCGGGTTCGGCAGGGCTGTGCTCTGTCCCGAGAATTTGTGAACTCCTACCCACCTCCAACAGATATAGCTTGGAATCACCTATTGTGGAATACACATGAGCAATCACTCGAAGAAGAAAAGACAGTTACCTGTTCCAGAACTGGTGTTCTTCGAGATGTGTTGCTCATGTCTATTCCACATTCCGCCCTCCTTCCCCTCAGTCGGAGTTGTCTGGCAAGAAGGAACTGAGGGTGGGGTGAGCGCGCAGCGCCCTTATACCACGACATGGAGGCGCCACTCCAGGGGTCACTAGGGGCTCTCCCCTACGGGTACTGCTAGGGGAAAAACTTGTGGCACCAGTGCATGTGGCGAGCACACACACACCTGTTGTGAAATAGACATGAGCAACATATCTCGAAGAACACCAGTTACGGAAAAGGTAACTGTCTTTTCTCTCCATTAACGACCTGCTACTGTTATAGATCATGCTGTGGCCTTCTGTACTCGGAGCATCTATTTGTATGGTTCTGAATCCACTAATTCTATGTGATTCTTCATCTATTCACAGCAAGCAATTGATGATGAAGTGATAGCAATAGTTAGGAAAATGGCATCAGGTGGAGGAAAGAGGCATATTTTTGTCTGTTAAAAGAACAGCAGAAAGAAAATTGGAATCTCTTCTATTTTAATCATTAAAATGGCCTCTATCACATTCAGTCTGTAAAATGAGGTTTCATCATCTAGCCTGAATAAAGATTATGTTGCTGATTTCCCATCATCAAAATGCACTTATGGGAAAGAATATCTCCCTCTGTTCTTGTTTTCTGGTCTTCAGTTAGGTTTAAAATGCTGTTGCGTTACTACTTGTATATTTTCCCTACCATCAGTGGTTGCAGTCATTAATAGTATAAAGAAGAAGAAAAATCCTGTATTACAGATGCAGATTTAAATTTACATCCAAAGCTAAGTATTTTGGGTTTAGACTTCAACAGCTTCACTTTCACTCTTATTCCCCCCGTGTAATTATTATATTATCTTAATCACAGTGTCACATACAAGAATGCATATTAGTGTGAAAAATACATCTTTTTAAAGATTTTAGCAAACTTAAAAAAATAACAAAAGAAAGACCCTTCCTGAGCTGGCTTGAAAAATATGTTCATTGTGTACTTTTCTTTGTACAGAACCGAGACACAAAAGAAAGTGGGAAGAAATCCCGTAGCCGCTCATTAATGGGCAATTTTGGGAAATACAAGGTAGGTGGAACTCATATCTGTTGTTTGTCTAAGAGTTAATAAATAGAGGTTACTCAATGCCCATGGCAGAACCAGGCCCTATACTTCCGTTTTGTAAAAGTGTAATTTTTCATGGCTTTTAATTGCATTTCAGATAATATCTGAATTTTTGTGGCGTTGCATGATCTGATTCTTTAATCTGTTATACCAGTTTTATGTCAGCATAACTCCATTTAATCATGCTGGTTTAATTCAAATGAAATCAGTGAAGTTACACTAGTGTGGAAGTGGTATAATGGAGAAGAGAATCAAGCCTCCTATTTGTAATTAAATCATAAAATTGCACTGGTTTAAAACTAGTAGGTTTTTGTTGTTGTTGTTGCTTTAGCTAAGTGCACATGTTCACAATCTTTGTCTTTCAGGGAACTAAAAGGTGAGTAATAAGAAATCCATTCAATACACAGGTGATTTCTACAAGTAACATACACGCTAATGCGTGTTACACATTGGAATCCCATGTACACAGATGAGATAATAAATGCTCTATACTGGGATCCCAGATAAAGAAGTCCGTTGCTAAAAAAACTGAAATTACTGGCTACACTGAGGAGTGGAAAACGTTTTAATAATTTAATCACTTCAACTAATTATTCTAATAGGATATAGGCAGTTGGATGCCCCATTTACTTCAGATCTTTCTTTGCTGAAATAAGTAAGGCAGAGTATTATTATTTTTAATGACTATTGCAGACAGACCAAGACAGACTTAGAATAACTTAACCCTTAGAACACTGTCATTTTTCATGCTGGCAGCCAAAAGGATGCTTAGGATGATATATAGTAGTAGTAGTAATCTTCACATGTACAGAGACTCTCAAAACTCTAAGCAGACATTAATGAATTCTCACAACAGAACAGTATGCTGGGTAACTTTAAGTGGATACCCTGTGAAAGAGGGTAAACCGAGGCACAAGGGGGTTGAGGCCAATATTTTTAAATATTAGTACCTAAAATTACTCACCTAAATCTAAATTTAGGCTCCTAAATAAATGGCCTAATTGGAAGCTGTGTGTGCATAGCCACTGTGAAATTCAGGATACTTATTCAAGTGTATTAAATGTAAATGCTTTGAAAATTTGGAACTTTGGAAATCGTGGTTAAGTAAAGTATCAGAGGGGTAGCCGTGTTAGTCTGGATCTGTAAAAAGCAACAGAATCCTATGGCACCTTTAAGACTAACAGATGTATTGGAGCATAAGCTTTCGTGGGTGAATACCCACTTCGTCAGACGCATAAGTAACTATATCAGGTTCACTCACTGAGTCATTGACAGAGCTGTAAGTGGAATTCAGGAGTCCAGACTCCCAGCCCCCTAGATTTAAGACTAAAGAGCATACATAATCTCCAAAAGGGTTGATTATTCTATTTTAGCACTGAGGACAGCGGGATCAACTCAGTTATGGTCTTTATTAGTATACCATATTAAATGAAATAAAATCTGTGACGTTCAGATGGAATGTAGTAGGATTAATCTGCGAGAGAAAGGAAAAGGAATTCTCACTTACACAGTAGCCACCTCTTAATACTGAGAGGGGAAATTAAAGAGCTCTTTGAACTGCAGTCATAATGTCACTGAATATGTAAGAATGTTGAAATCAAAGGTTGGAGAGTACACTATAGAAAAGATATTTTCAGTAAACTGGCTACTTGTTGGTATCACAAAAGCTATAGTTGGCAATCATTACTGCTATTTAAAAGAGATGCTTATGAAAAGAGAATTCTTTTGAAATGTTAGCCTTTTTATTGTAGGTAGAAATTTTATTGTGTATTGTATGGAATTAGAATCTTTTGATCCTTTCATATACTGTATGGCTCATAAAACAGAAACAAACTTTAAGATGTTTGGAAATTTTGCTTAGAGACTGTTTGTTCAATTCTTTGGGAATGCATTTGTTAATCTTCTCTTATAAATGGCACAGAAGTCATAGCTGGAAGCAATTCATTTTGTATTTGTGTTACTATCTATTAAAGATCTTTTGCTGTTATTAAATATACTATGGTACATGAGAAATCCAATATGACCAATACTAGTTTAGTGGAAACAGCAGTCATGATTTTGGTTTTATTACAGGCCAAATATTGGCTCTCATTTTTATCTCCCACCTATAATCTATCCTCTCATTAGCCTTTGCAAAAGCATATATGCAGGTTATTTGTACCAAAAGTATAGTGCAAGTGAAGGAGGAGTGTAACGTGATAGAGGGTCCAAGGGTGAGGTGGGATTCACGTGGATGATGTCTATAAACCCTGTCCCAGATTGCTGCACTGCTGTTTAATCCACAGAGCGCCTGTGGGGTCTTAAGACCATGGATTTTGTGAGCATAAAAATCAGGGCACAAGAACTGACCCCACAGATCCCATCTTGGCCATCTTTTATCCTGTATTTGCAGAGTTGCCAGCAAGAATGTAGCCCCATGTTCTCTAATACATTACACCGAGACAGTAAGACAATGGCCATTGCCTATTTTGAATCAAAACCAGATCTGTTATTTTTTTAATCATAGAAATGAGATATATAAATACCAGTCAGGTCACCTTCTGCACCTTTGGGGCATCTTAAACTCCATTTAATGTCAGTAAAGTGTTGTGGATTTGCATGGCAGATGGATTCATTGATTTCCCCAACAGAAAGCTGTCAAATCAAGGTCCAAATCTCATAGCACATCTGATGATGAAGAAAGTCAACAAAATTCTTCTGGAAAGGAAACTGGGCAGTTGTACAGGTCAGAAATCCCCACAATTTTTGACGTCATTGAAAAAGAGAGACATTTTGCCATTAAATGTCCATATTGTGCTTTATGCCATCTCAGTGACCTAAGTCAGTTCTCAATAGCAAATCTGTTGTGTCGCTTGCATTGTTGAAATGTATTTGCATAAAATCCCAACACTGAGTTACATGGCGTTTCAGTGAAATACAAATAATAATTACTCTTAAATTGAATAGAAATGGTGCAGCAATACTTTGCTAGTGAAAAAAAGCCAGAATCAATTTTACATGAAAATAGACTGAATAAAAGCACATCACAACCTCTCCAAGTTCATTACAGCTGAGAATGGAATAAATGCATTTTCAAGTATGCATTTATTGCATTTAAAATATCCCTTTTGCTGATGTTTTTTCTAAAGCTGGTTGCCCATCTTGTTTTTCTTAGTATAACAGGATATCTAGAATGTGTATGTGTGTGTGTGAGAGAAAGACACAGAGAGAGAGAGAGAGAGAGAGAGGTTTGGAATGAACCATAATCTTAGAGATTGCCCCAAATCCTGTTTAGTAAGCCTGTTGCTTTTCCTTTATTTCTTGCTATTTAAACGTGTCTTTCAGTTAGGAAACAGCTATAGTTAATATATAGTATAAATGGATATAACGGTGCTCAGTTGTGAATTAATTTTTTGAAAAGGACAGAATTACAGAGGAGAGATTTAAATAATTTGTAAGTATTAAAAATAAAAATCATTAATATATAATGTTACTCAACAGGTTGGGCCGCCGGAGAAAAACCATGAAGCTGTGCCGTGCTCTTTCTGATTTAGTGGTGTACACAAACTCTGTGGCAGCCCAAGATATAGTAGATGATGGTGAGACTGTGGATGTAAATTTTACTTATATAAGTGTTGTTATTTCACTTGACTATATTTGGATGGGACACATGCCTGTGGTCTTAAGTTTCCTCTATTTTCAGAGAACTTTTAAAAGTTGACTAGGTAGCTCATCAGTTCTTATCACCTATCTTTATCCATGGAGAAAGATAGTATAAGACAGTGGTGTGCAACCTGCGGTCCATCAGGGTAATCTGCTGGCGGGCCGCAAGACAGTTTGTTTATATTGACCGTCCACAGGCATGGCCGCCCACAGCTCCCGGTGGCCTTGGTTCACCGTTTCTGGCCAATGGGAGCTGCGGTAAGCGGCGGCCAGCACGTCCTTGTGCCCCGCGCCACTTCCTGTGGCTCCCATTGGCCAGGAACGGCAAACTGTGGCCACTGAGAGCTGCGGGCGGCCATGCCTGCGGACGATCAATGTAAACAAACTGCCTTGCGGCCCGCCAGCAGATTACCCTGATGGGCTGCATGCGGCCCGCGGGCCACAGGTTGCCCACCACTGGTATAACACCTTCCTTTTCTTCCCCAGGGAAATGTGCCCTCCCATGTTTCTTCAGTTTCCTTGTGAGTTTCATAATTTAGTAATGCTCCCTCTGTGTGATTCTGGGAATGCAGACCCTTCCAGGAGAAGCTTGTATGGTTTCACTGTATTATGAGATTTATCTTAGCTTTTATCATAACAGTATGCTACTATTATTTAATATTAATATTATGCAGTGCCCAGAGGCCCTAGTTGGGATCAGGACTTCATTATGCTAGGTGCTGTATAGAGGTACACATGGTCTCTGCCCCAAAGAGCTTACTGTTGTTTTACTAGACAAGGTAAAATGGAAATTGACAGGGCTAATATGGAATTTGAAGAGCAGATAGCCAAAGATGTAAAAACAAACAAGAAATTCTATGTGTATGTCAGCTTGTATGGGAATATATGGGCTTTCGGACTACCAGTGAGTAAATGGAGTAATTAAGGGGGATAAAGGCATTGCAGAGAAACTCAGGCCAAGAAATCTAAAAGTGACTAGTCGTTTTGGGTGAATTTTGGGTCTGATATTCAGATGCTGAATGCTCAGTATTTCCTGAAAATCAGGCCCCTTTAGAGTTTCTCATGTTGGGCATCTCCACCTAGAATACTGTGCTTAGTCCTGGTCATTGTAGCTCAGAAAAAAGACAGAAATGCTCAGAGGAAAGATTTCTGCATTAAAAAAAGATTGAAAAGACTGGGTCTCTTTAGAGAGAAGATGAAGCGGAGGAATGATTGATATACAGGTGGGAGACTGGGTGCTACAATTTACCCTTTCACATAGAACAAGGACTTGAGTACATTTGGTGAAACTGAAAGACAATAGATGTAAAACTGATTAAAGAAAATACTTCTTCACACATTGCCTAATAAACTAGAGGAACTCATTGCCGCAAGATGTCATTGAGGCCAAGAGTTTAGTAGCATTTTTACTAGGATTAGATGTTCATAAGGGTAATAAGAACAATAGGCTAAACATTTTTATGGGGAACTAAACCTTCATGATTCAGGGCACAAGACAACAACTAACTAATAGGGCTTGGAAGAAACTTGTCCTGTGACTAGATTATTCCACAATTGCTACTACAGGCTTTTGGCACCTTCTTCTGACGTATCTGGTACTGGCCGCTGTCAGAGGTCTAGCTGTGGATCACAGGTCTAGTCTTACAGATCAGCTCCTCAGTTCCTAAGTGCTGAAAGTGAACACTTGTTCTTTTAAAAGAATATAAATGCTTTTCTATTAGCTGCAAACATTTCTTAATTTCTGTAGCCATTTGTACTGCCTTTTTCAACTCTCCCAGAATAGTAATATAAGCAAAGACTAATTATGCCACTGAGCAGCTTTAAATATCTGAAAGTGACAGATACTGCTCAGGGGCTCTGTTTAATTAGAGTATCTCTCTCTATATGGAAGATAGAAGAAAAAACAAATTCAAGTGCAAGAGTTATTTCTGCTTAAAAAAATACTGTGCAGAGAATTATGAACCTACATTTAAAAGCACTTCAGCCATAGAGACAAGCTATATAAGAGTGCAGGACAATGCCTACTGACTTAGGGAAAGGTGAGAATCAGGGTAATGTTTTAGGCCCCAAATGAGAACCCAAGCTTTCATGCAAATATTTCCTCTAGTGGAATGAATTTAGGAGACTGTGGATTGCATAGGAGTTCTCCTCCCATGGATCTGGGGGATCCACAGGGAAGGGTATCCCTAGATCCATAGAGGAAGGGGGTGACTTTCTGTGGGGCTGAGCTGATTACTCTCTCCCCCTCTCTACAAGGCTTCAGCAAGATTTTAGCCATGCTGTCATTGTCTGAATCCCCTGTAGCTTCTCAGCAACCGTTCCGGCTGGGGCTTTCCAGGATATGATGCATTTTCAATTAGCGTTGACTCCTGCCTGGTTTTCCACATAAGCCTGGAAAGCAGGAGGCTGAGCAAGGGACAGTCCTGCAAATGGAGGTTGGTGCCTTGGTCCATTCCGTCCCATTCCAGCCCTTGCCCAAATCCCTATAGAGGAAAGACCTAGTGGCACACACTTGCAGGTGAGGTAGGGCAAGGTTACAGAAAGAGCACAACAGCAAGGCAGTGCTATTCTGAGATCTATGTGATCTATCCTTCCAGGGTAGTGTGGAAGAGGATTGTCAAAGCCCAAGGGGATTTGCAGACTGTCAGGAGGTAGCTGAAAGATCTCATGGGTATATGGAGGTAGGATGAGGGAGAACCTAATCATAGGTAAGGAAAGAGTTTGTTCATTATACAACAGCTTTATTGAACTCAACACAGCTTAGGAATATTGCCTAATGGGAATTAGCGGCTATATTTTATATCTTTTCCACTTGATCTCCAGCTGTAAGAGTAAAGCAAGCATATGATATGATAATCTGTGAATCTAGACTAACTCCACTGATGTCAGTCCAACTAACCTGTGAATATAGCAATTTGTCTCACAGTTGTTGTTCTTGTTTTTTTTTTTAACTATAAACACATAGGGACTATGGGAAATGTGTTGTCATTCAGTGAAACAAGGGCCCACCAGGTAGTGCAGCAGAAGTCTGAGCAGTTTATACTTTACAACCAGAAACAGCTCACCAGAATCTATCCATCTGCATATCGGATTGACTCCAGCAATTTCAACCCCTTACCGTACTGGAATGCTGGTTGCCAGCTGGGTAGGTGTTTTATGTATGTAATGTTTTCACATGAGTTTTATGTTAAATGCAAGTTACAGTTACACTTATCAATGATTCCTAAATCTCTTAATTCAACAGTGGCATTAAACTACCAGTCTGATGGGCGCATGATGCAGGTTAATCAAGCAAAGTTCAGGATGAATGGCAACTGTGGGTATGTCCTCAAACCGCAGCAGATGTGCAAAGGTAATGTCATACTACACATTTATTATTATTATAGCAGTTATTTTAGAAAATGACTTGTGCAGTCAGTTTTCCATTATTTTGCATGTAGAGCTAAATATCTAGAATAAAACAAGGAATTAAAACAAGAACTTGCGTGGGAGCTTTTTGACACACATAAAATAATTAGCTTGGTTTGCATCTGACTTTTTAAACGATTAAATGAAAGGCACATTTGCAGTGTTTGCTATCAACCTTAAAAAAATGACTGCCAGCTTTCTGAATATATAAATACTATAATATGATCTCTCAGAGTTAATCTAGGTAAGTTATTAGCACCCAGTCTTGTGATATTCTGGGTCCCTCCTACAAAGTGTAGACCAGCCTGAGCAACTTGGGAGGTGAAGTTGCTTAACACCCCATAGCAGTCAGCTTTTGCGGCCTGATCTGTCACTGAAATCAATGGGCATCCTAGTATTTCTGGAACAGGAGTCAGTGATCCTTATGCTCATACAGTGAGCACATTTCTATTTGTTTAGGGTTTTGGTTTTGCCACCATCATTTTAAAATCACATTATTTCTTTGAGCCAGTTTAACACTGGAACTGGTAGGATCATTCTAGTAAAATGGGCCTGGGCCTATGTAGTTAGAGGTCCTTGAATGAGCCCTCTGCATCAGGGCGAATGTCATTTGTAGAAATTAAGTTATAGACAGGAGGCCCAGTCAAGCATGTGATTATATGATGTTATTTATTCTATGCATTCGGGAGGATAGCAGTTCTGTTTTTTTCTCCTGTATAGGATTTCTAATATTAAGGGTTTTATTTTTTCTCATTCTCTGCAAACCTCTAGGTACATTCAACCCTTATTCCGGTGATCCACTTCCTGCCAACCCTAAAAAGCAGCTTATTCTCAAAGTCATCAGTGGACAGCAACTACCTAAGCCTCCAGATTCAGTATTAGGAGACAGAGGGGAGGTAAAGTAGTTTGAGTGATACTAAATACTTTTTTTCACTATAACTGTCATAGAATGCCTGGGAGTGACGTGGCAGCATTTGTCCTAAAGAGAGTTTTTCTCCTAAATTAAAATATGCCAGTAATTTTCAGATGTTCAGGATTTGCACATTAGATCTGGATTTTTCCCACAATTCCTGTATTCTGTATATTCTGCTGGTTAGTATTTTTTCAGCTGTTAGCACTGATCTGAAAGTTTACTCCACCTGGCCACATGTCCCACTGTCACAGAACAGCAATGATGAAACCTACATCATTCTGTAGTCTACTGTGGCATTTCCCATAATCACACTACTGGGAAAAATCACACTTAGCAGTGGCTTTAGCATTCAAATGTGCATTTATGTGAGAGTTTAATAGAAAATTATCTTTTATATATAATGACGAGTTGCTTTTAAATTGTTGTTTTTTAAAATAGATAATAGATCCTTTTGTCGAGGTGGAAATTATTGGGTTACCTGTAGATTGCTGTAAAGACCAGACCAGAGTGGTTGATGACAATGGTAAGATAATGTACCCTACTTCCTCTTTTCTATAGTAAATTGAATAATTATGAATGACTAGAATAATTTACCAGAGACGCAAACAGTGATGAACATAGTATTTTCTGGTCACACTTTATATTAAAAGAATATTTATCAATACACCTCTACCCCGATATAACGCTGTCCTCGGGAGCCAAAAAACCTTACTTATAGGTGAAACCGCGTTATATCGAACTTGCTTTGATCCACCGGAGTGCGCAGCCCTGCCCCCCTGGAGCGCTGCTTTACCACATTATATCCAAATTCATGTTATATCAGGTCACGTTATATCGGGGTAGAGGTGTAGCTTATAAACAGTTAATGAACAATTGGTTAAAATAAGGGTATATAACTATCTATAAAACCTTTACTGATGTATTTAGAACCATCAATAAAACATATTCCTCATGTCTATAATATGCTTCGATTAATATGATTCTATTAATCATTTATTAGCCTTTTATAAGTTATTTATAAATGTATCCTTAATATGAAGTACAACCATATTTTCAAATAATAAAAAAGATATTGCTAGATCAATGCAGAGGAAAGCTGTGGAATGCTGGGGTGTCAGCTGCTGACCTACTAATCCTTCAGGGATTGCATGGACGTTTTTCTCATTTGGTTTAAGCCCCACCTAAACAAGATTTTTAATCATTTTGAGAAATTGTGTTTAACATCAGTTCCAGCAAAATCAGTTTCAGTTGGCCATTGCTGATATGGTTTGGAAAAAAGAGTGTTAGAAACTGTGTTTAGCCCAAATTTCTTAAAAGGGTAAAATATGTCCATGCTTAGACATGCTAATATGGTTTGGTCAACCAATGCAAATGGGGTCATACTATGCTGTAATCTAGGCTCCTACATAATGCAGTTATTCAGGCATGGTTTGCCATGTCCATATTGGCCAGCCAAACCAAGTTAGGAACTGGTTAGACTCAGAATTTTCCACACTCCAATAACAATTGTGTTATGGGACCCACTCCTCTGATAATTAGAAACCTTTGTTTAATTTCAAGCCTAAACTTGTTGAAGGCCAGTTTATATCCATTTGTCCAACATTGGCCCTTAAGTTAAATAATTCCTCCCCCTCCCTGGTGTTTGCCCCTCTGATGTATTCATAGAGAGCAATCAGATCTTCCCATAGACTTCCTTTTATTAGGCTAAACAAGGCAAGCTCCACAAGTCTCCTCTTGTCAGGCAGGTTCTCCATTCCTAAATAAATTAATGGAGATATCCTATCTCCTAGAACTGGAAGGGACCTCGAAAAGTCATTGAGTCCAGCCCCCTGCCTTCACTAGCAGGACCAAGTACTGGTTTTGCCCCAGATCCCTAAGTGGCCCCCTCAAGGATTGAACTCGCAACCCTGGGTTTAGCAGACCAATGCTCAAACCACTGAGCTATCCCTCTCCCTGTTCCTCTTGTCCTAGTAGCCTTTCTCTGCATGTGTTCCAGGTTTAATTAATCTTTCTTAAATATGGGAGATCAAAACTGCATGTAGTACTCCAGATGAGGTCTCACCAGGGCCTTGTACAATGGTAATAACACTTCCCTGTCTCTACTGGAAATACTTTGCCTGATGCATCCTAGGATTGCATTTGCCTTTTGCATGGCCACATCACACTGGCGGTTCATAGTCATCCTGTGGTTGACCAGGTCTTTCTCATCCTCTGTCACTTCCAACCAATAAATCCCAAGGTTGTAGCAAAAATTCTTGTTGCTAGTCCCTACGTGCATGACATTACACATTTTACCATTCAATTTCATCCCATTTCTATAACTCCAGTTTTCAAGATTGTCCAAATGTCCTTGTGTGATATTCTGGTCCTTCTCCATGTTGTTATGTCCCTGATGAGTTTGAGAATTACCTTCTAGTGATTGACAAGGGTGAAATTTCCTTGCTGATTTTTATCTGGGTCTGCAGTTTTTGATAGTACACCTCTACCCCGATATAACGCTGTCCTCGGGAGCCAAAAAATCTTACCGCGTTATAGGTGAAACCGCTTTATATCGAACTTGCTTTGATCCGCCGGAGCGCGCAGCCCCGCCCCCCCAGAACGCTGCTTTTACCCCACCAAAGCTATATAAAGGCAACAGGGCATACAAGAGAGTCAGGCCCTGAATGTTTTAGTCTTTTGGGGTCTATTTTTCTCTGCTACATCTATGTGTAATTCTCTCTCCAATGGTTATTGAATTATACTCTTAGGGACAGATTCTGCCATCCTTGCCCCATGTTAAGTAATACTATAGTAATACCTTGTTATGCTGGTAGTCCCATTGAACACCAACACTGGTGAAGGTATCCATAGTGATTACAATGGGACAGTTTGCAGGGTAAGTTAAACTCAAACTGTGAAAGGGGTGGCAGGATCTGGTCCTTAATTAGGCAGTTAACATAGTTCTGACGTATTCAAGCCACAGTCCCTATAGAACAGTGGTTCCCAAACTTTAACAGCCCGCGAACCCCTTTCACTAAATTGTGAAATCTTGTGAACCCCCTCATAAAAATGAATATTTTCAGGGATTTAAGTTTAAATTTCCTCAGTGTGATGGATGCCCCAATTGCTGGGCCCCGGAATCTATGAACCTCTGAAAAATATTTTTAATTGAAACTTTTTTTTAACGAACATAAAAAAACCAGAAACCAAAAATGTTTCTGTAAAATGTTTTTTTGGCTTTTGTTTAAAAAAAAAATGGTTTCAAATAAAAATAAATTCATTTTTGGTTTTCAAAAATCAGAAAAATGTTTCATGAAAACAGTTTTTGAAAATGGACCATTTTTCCGTTTCAGTTTTTTGAAAATTTTTCTTGGGGAATTTTGAAAAATGTGAAAAAAATTCAAAACTTTCTGTGAAAAATGCTTGGTATTTTTTACCCACCTCTAGTTTCGGGTGAGGTTGTGGCTGGTGGTAACAAGGAGGGTTGTAGTTCTGGCTTTAGATGAGATTTGGCAAATTCCTGGGGCTCGGGCTGGGGTTCGGGCTGCTGGCTCCCCCGCTGATGGGGGCTTGGGCTGCCAGCCCCTACTGCCCGGCCCCGCTCTCCCTGGGGCTCGGGCTGCCAGCCCCGCGCAGAACGCTGGGGTTCAGGCTGCCGGCTCCCCCGCTGACGGGGGCAGGGCTCGGGCTGCTGGCCCCAATTGCCCGGCCCAGCTCTCCCTGGGGCTCAGGCTGCCAGCCCTGTGCGGAGCGCTGACACAGGAGGGCTGGGGCTGCCGACTCAAACTGCCCGCTCTCCCCAAGGCTCGGGCTGCCGGCTCCCTGGCTGACAGGGGAGGGCTCGGGCTGCTGGATCAAACTGCCCGGCCCCGCTCTCCCTGGGGCTCAGGCTGCTGGCTCCCCCTCTGACAGGGGAGGGGCTCCGGCTGCCGGCTCCCTGGCTGACAGGGGAAGGCTCAGGCTGCCTGCTCAAACTGCCCGGCCCTGCTCTCCCTGGGGCTTGGGCTGCCGGCTCCCTGGCTGACAGGGGAGGGCTCGGGCTGCCAGCTCAAACTGCCCGGCCCTGCTCTCCCTGGGGCTCGGGCTGTCTGCCCTGCAACTGTGTCCCAGCAGAGTCCTCTGGCTGCCATTAATGAAATTTTTCTTGCGAACCCCCTGAAACGTCCTGCGAACCCCCAGGGGTTCACGAACCCCACTTTGGGAACCACTGCTATAGAATGAAGAATGGGCTGGAATCCCCTAGCTAGTGAGAAGAGAAGAAAACAAGACTAACCCTTCAATTTTTAACAAGAGTCCTGGGAAGAGGGCAGGTGTGAGTAATAATTGAACTTCTCACGGTAGAATCATGGAAACAGCGACATGACAAAAGCTGTCTGCAGGTAAGATGACAACCAACACCAGAACCAAGAAAAACAAAATGGTTAAGAAAAATCCTGTGTCTGCAGTCAACTATATCAGTCAGATACTGTATTACTTTTTTTTGCATCAGTGTTGGACTGCAAAGCTTGATAGCACATGAAACCAAGTGATGGTCTTTTGATGGATGATATATCCTTGGATCTTAAACTTTAAAATTCTGCTTTCTAGCCAAAAATTGCAGGAGTGGGATAAATAAGATAATGGAGTGGTTGAGAAGGGAGAATGCCTTCCTCACACTCTCTCTCTTTTTCCTTGACTCTGCTTATGTCTCCTTTACGTAGAAGTCCCTAGTATTTATCATACAGCATGCATGGTATATACAAGTAATGAGAAACAAAATGAAAACAAACAATGCCACAGACAGCCTCTCTGCCACATCAGCCCCTATGGGACACTAGGCTAGCAACAGAGTGGAACAGCCAGGGAGATGGGGCTGTCAGTTCTCATGAATGGCAGTGACCCGTGGAGAAACACAGGGATCGTTCCTGGGCATCTTGGCCTATCTGAGCTTGACTTTCACACAAGTAGCACAGCAGTCTGCCCTGCCATGCCACCACATGCAGACTCTCTGCCAGATGCTCAATCCAGACCCTTTCTGTTGTTCATAAAAGCTGCCAGAGAGATACCACTCATTTTTCTGCATATGGATCTCTTCAGACAGCTGCCTAGGCACATCATAGTGCTGCATTTTGCATTGTAATTTACACAGACTGCATTCGTGGCTATTCTCCTCATTCCATCCTCTTGGCTTGCCACGCATACAGCTCAACTCCCATGTAGCAGCCACAGGCGCCAGCTTCCCTTGGCACCAGTAGGTGCTCACCCGCACCCCGACTCCGCCCCCTCCCTGCCCCTATTGGACTCCTCCCCAAATCCCCGCCCCGGCCCCGCCTCTTCCCCGAGCGCGCCACATTCCTCCTCCTCCCCCCTCCCTTCCACCGCTTGCCGCGCAAAACAGGTGTTTCGCAGCGCAAGTGCTGGGAAGGAGGGGGGAGAAGCATGACTCGGCGGCACGCTCAGGGGAGGAGGCGGAGGCAGAGTGGAGGTGAGCTGGGGCGGGGGGGCAGGGAGCTGCCGGTGGGTGCAGAGCACCCACCAATTTTTCCCCATGGGTGCTCCAGCCCCGGAGCACCCACGGAGTCGGCGCCTATGGTATGCAGCCACAAAGCAAAGGCCCCACTTAGGGAAGGGAAATGGCTATGTTGCAGCATCTTAATTTATTTGTCTGCTAGTGACTGAGGGATAGCTCAGTGGTTTGAGCATTGGCCTGCTAAACCTAGGGTTGTGAGTTCAATCCTTGAGGGGGATCTGGGGCAAAATCAGTACTTGGTCCTGCTAGTGAAGGCAGGGGGCTGGACTCAGTGACCTTTTGGGGTCCCTTCTAGTTCTATGAGATAGGTACATCTCCATATATATATTTCATGGGAAATAATGTATAGTCACTTGTGCATCAGGTCTGTTTGAGTGGCTGTTTTCCTTACCTCTGGTGTTTCACAGATAATAACGTCAACATCGGCTGCTGTTGCTGTATTTTCCTGACTTTCTATTCTGTTTGTCCCATAGGATTTAACCCTGTTTGGGAGGAAACTCTCACTTTTACCATCCACATGCCTGAAATAGCTTTGGTTCGATTTCTTGTTTGGGACCATGATCCTATTGGTCGAGATTTTGTTGGACAACGAACTGTGGCCTTCAACAGTCTTGTGCCTGGTTAGTTCCACTCATTGACTTGACTTTGATATTTAGTTGAAAATAGGAGGAAGGATAGTTTTGTAGTTAAAGTATAGAATGGAGAGTCAGAACAGCTGGGTTCTATGCCCAGCTCTTCCACAGACCTCCTGTGTGACATTAGGCAAGTTGCTTAATAGCTGTGAGGGGGAATCCTCAAAGCTACCTCAGGGATTTAGATGCCCAGTTCCATGGGCTTTTGAAAGTCTCAGCCTCTGTATCTGTCTCCTCACCTGTAAAATGGAGAGAATACTTATTTACCTCACTAGGGGGTTGTAAGACTAAACTCATTAATGTTTGTGAAGCCGTTTGAGGCTCTCAGATGGAAGATGTTATGAAAGGGGACTGTATTATTATTAATAAACAATTGCTCAAAGTTACTGTATATGAAATGTATAATTGCAAAAGACATTGTATGGACAGCCTTGCTAACTGCACATAAAATGCATAGTGCTGATTCTTTACTTTGTTTTCTCATTTTATTAGGCTATCGTCATGTCTACTTAGAGGGACTAACTGAAGCATCCATATTTGTCCATATAACAATCAATGAAATGTATGGAAAGGTAGGTATACATGGGAACATAAATACTTTACAAATGTTTGTGTCGTACTGCTGGCAACAGTGGGTTAAGATGCATCAGTATAACCTCATAGAACTAATGGGGGCAATAATAAGAAGAGACATAGGGCCTGATTCTCCAGTGCTCTGCACCTTGTGTCGTCATTAACACCACCCAGTTTCACTCCCTTAGCCCTTATGTAAATGACTGCACAAAGCACAAGGTGATGGCGAATAAGGCCCATAATATTAAATTTTCCCCTTGACCCTTGCAGAAGATCACTTTAATCACAAAGCAATATCATTGCCATAATCCTAGCATGCATAACTGTGAATGCTGTTTTCTTTGTCACCTAATATTCATTTCTCACCTAGGTACAGTAAGTACATCCCTAGAGGCTCATTTTAAGTTCCTTTATTTTTAAAAAGTAATCGTCAAGAGCTGTAGTCACACCATTACTTCTGGGTATTTGACAAGACATTTTAAACTCTGATTTTAGTTCTCAACTATTTAAAATTGTAGCATGTGAAGTGTTGTTGCTTTTCTGCGATGTTTCAAAAGATGAAAAATTTTTGAAACTTCCATGTTTTAAAATGAAAGCAAAAGCTTAGTGCATTACTCATTATTTCAGCGTTAGCTGGCTCTGTTCAACAGTTTACAAGAGGTATACAAGTTACTATAAATAGGGGTTTAAAAGGATTACCAGAAGTCAACGGCATAGCTAAGTTAATTAAAACAGAGAGTGGTACCAAGAATAAAAAGGACCTTCATTTCAATGACTATGTTTAGATTTATTTTTTAAGGAGTGTGAAAAGAGGAATCAGGTAGCTCAGAGTCTTTTTCTCTGCTCAGAGCAGATCTAAACAACAGGATCTAAAACCAACACCACCAGCACTTTGTCTGCACTAAAGCACCTACAGTTGCTCCAACGAGTAGATCTGCATCAGCGGAAACATTTGAGGGGATAAGGCAAGTGTAGACTGTAGTAGATTGAATGCACATGGGAACTGAATTACTTGCTCTTACCTCCGGAAGTGGTCCCTTCAAGAAAGGGTGGAGGCCATTGCAGAGCAACTTGCATTGACACCACCTGGGCTGTATCTGTTCTGTGGAAACACAGAGATCTTCAGTCTCCAAAGTGATCAATCTGGCATCTTTCACCAACACTAAATCCATCTTAAAAGAAAAAAGGACTGAAGAAAATGTATAGGGGCTCCCAGGATCTGTAGGGCTCCCAGGATCTGTAGAGGTATCCAGATGCACAAGTGAATACAAATGAAATCCCATGCCATTGACATTCAACAGGGATTGCTATTTGGCTCGCATACTCTTCAGAGAGGACAGAGTTAAGGAAAAAATTGAATTTCTGAGTAATTTCATAGTATAATTGGGCTGCATGATAGCACTAGGAGAGGCTTTAAAAAACACCTGTGAGACTTGAGCTCTTCTGTATAAAATTTTGCCCCGCCACCAAATGCTTACTTTAATGATGGACTGTATTGTTTTTTTACAAGATATATTTAAAACCTGGAGGTATTTTCCATACCCTGTATAACTGAGGATACCTAGTGAAATGTCTATCTGAATGAGATTGGTGTAAGATTAATAATCTATTTTAAATGATTTAACTATAGAGAATTACTTACACCAACTATCTAACTATCTTGTTTGCTTGTCACAGCCTTGAAAATGTTTGCATTTATTTTCTTTTCAGTGGAGTCCTTTAATCCTCAATCCCAGTTATACTATATTGCACTTTCTAGGAGCCACTAAGGTAGTCTTCATTAGCATGCACTTTTCACTTGCTGGGCACAGATTTATCAAACAGTTCCCAGTCGCATGATGTACCATAAGTACCATATCTCTTCATTCCTCATTAAGATTCTGAAATATTTAAATGTTGCTTTGATGAGGCCCATGTCATAAAACTCTACGTTAATGGGCAGCCTGTCACTACAGAGCATTTCTTACAGTCTTGTCAGCTCTGATAGGAAACTTCTAGTAAAGATCCACAGTAATTATGGCAGGCTGCCTTCCTAATGAGGGGGAATTCATACATGCACGAACTCATGGAGACCTATGCTGATTGTTTCCTGGTCTGAATATGTGTGAATTAGTTGGTGTGAATTTTTGCTTTGCTTTGCTTTGTTTTTTGATGTTGCATTCATGATTCACAAATATATATTCAATAGCAATTTAAAACACAGGCTGAACTTAAAGACTGTGGTTGTTTTCTTGTTTTCAGAATAAGCAGCTGATAGGACTCAAAGGGTTGTTTAACAAGAATCCCAAACACAATTCTGCTGAAAACAATGGGCATTACGTGCGGAAACGATCAATTGGTGATCGAATTCTCCGACGCACAGCCAGTGCTCCGGCAAAAGGCAGGAAGAAGAGCAAAATGGGCTTTCAGGAAGCTACGGAAATTAAAGACGGTACCTCTGAGCTAACAGACATGAAAGACAAGGAAGGAGTTATAAGGCGTACAACCAGGAGTTTGCAAGCACGTCCTGCTTCTATGCCAGTTGATAAATTCCTTCTGATGGGATTGTCTTCACCAGAATGTGAAACGATTAAAGATACCAAAAGAGAAGAAAATACCTCTGGTAAGATGCTTCCAAAGCGACTTTTAGTGCAGTAGCTTTAAAACCATATTATTAAGCTCAGTGCTGCAATCCTCATGTGAGTAGTTCCATTGAACTCGCATGAATAAGGACTGCAGGATCAAGCCCCATAGGATGTAAAATGACTGTTACATTTATTAAAGTGATATGCAATAAAACTGTCACTTGCATTTTTAAACTTCTTCCTGTATCCTGACAAGTGAAACCCAAGAAAAGTTTCCTCTCCCCAGACTAGGCAAATGGATTAGAGTATTTTCCACAGATTTGCTTAAAGAACACTTGTCAAGTTTCTTTTCATAATTAAAAAAATTAGTTTATTAGTTGATTTTTTAAGTATTCTTTAGAAGCCTGAAGATGAAATCTACATCCTTGCCAAAATTGTTTTTTCCTCAATCATTTTCAAGCTCTGGGTTTGTTACTGTAAGTTTACGCATGAGAGCTATGAGCATTGTGTATTTTTAATTTTTTTTTTCCAAGGGAAAAAAAGCAGGAAGCATTTGTTTTGGAAACAATGTATATAAAGAAAAACATGGACTTTGCAAACAGATGTAAAAGGGGAAAAGTAGGTCAAATTTTGAATCTAAGAACCTTGACATTGTCCTTTAAAATTAACTTTAAAAAATTATAAACCTGGATTATATGGGGAAATTGGTGGGTGAGGCTGGAATCTTAGTTATTTTTTATATTCCTAGATTAAACTATAAACGTTCACATGTAGTATGTTTTGATTCTTGAAGTTACTCAGAACAAAAATATTTTAGATCTACTGGGCCTGAGTTTGATATCTGATACACTGGGGTGAATCCAGTGGACTTTGGTGTAAAACCTGTGCAAATGAAATGCAGATCCAGCTCAATGTGCCAAACAGGTGACACACAGGAGTATCTGAATAGTTCCAGAAAGTCTGTAATTTTGTGGCATTGGTGTCTGAGACATTTTCATTCCTGGTCCAGAGCTCTCACCCACTCTGAAACATCTGAGCGGCACTTTTCTTTCTGCAAATACTCCATTCAGACATCTTCATGGCTCCAGAGATTGGCCATACCCGCCTGCACCCTTGCTCCAGGTTCTGTGCTTTTGGCAGTGCAGAGCAGCAATTCTCCTGTCTTACGCACTGCAATCTGAAAGCCAGATTCATGCTGTTCCAGTAATATAAAAGGGCTGTTCACCTAGCAAAAATGGCCCCTCAGGGAATAACGGGTTTCCTTAGATAGTGCAGAGCTGCCCGAAGTGCTCTACCACTGTCCCCTTTTCAGTTCTTGATACAGGAAGCATGCCGGGAACATGTCGGTGGCAGGAGGCATGGCCAGCGTGAGTCTGCATTCTGGTTATTCTTGGCTATGGACTGGCACCCTACAGAGCTATTGCAGCCATTCTTAAATTAGAGCAGGCTTAGCCAGGCCCCTGGCAAGGGAAAGTCTATAGACGTAAGCCATCTTTGCCCTACTTCCCTGTTTTCTTGGAAAAAACAGAATCTGGGCCCTAGCTTTTAAAAGCTGATTTTGGGGTAGCAGTGAGAAAAATGAAAACAGTTTCCCATCGCCCTGTATTCCTCCTTCAAATAAGTCATTAGCGATTCTGCAGGGGTCTTGAATTCAAAGGTTCTATCTTCATCTCTCCAGAAGGCTGTTGCAGCGTGGGCATCCCTGGTAGAGGATGTGGTAATTCCTGAAGACTCTGCAGGCAGCAAGAAGAAGATACCCTTAGAAGGGACTTCAAAGCTTCTTCAGTGTTCTGAAGGCTTCACTGGCAACCACGTGCTAGAGACACAGTGATCTGGTGTGATCCTCATAAATGGGCCACATCACAAAAGTGAATAAGCTAAGTTATCAGCAGATAGACAGCCCCAGAATGGTCCAGGGAGCCACCTCGAAAGAGACCTGTTCACATTCAGCCAGAACACATGCGTCTGATGAAGTGGGTATTAACCCACGAAAGCTTATGCTCCAATACTTCTGTTAGTCTATAAGGTGCCACGGGACTCTGTCGCTTTTTAAAGGTAAGGTTATTCTTCACCAGGGAACCAGACTAAATGTCACTGGGAATAAACTCTCTGGCACACAAATGACTGAATCAGCTTCTCTCCGCTTTCTCCTTCTTCCAGTACTAGGAAGAGTGATTTAGAAGATCGGAATGACTGTGGCCCTTCTCCTTTTTAATCATCCTCAATTTGCTAAGAAGGCTGTGGTTCTCAGACCTAGTGGAGCTGTTGCCCAGGCAGGATGTACTCAATGGTCCAGCAGGCAGGCTCTCCTGTTCTCTGGCCCACTTTTGTATCTCTGTCCAGATTACTGAACCTCACAGTTTAGATAATGAGTGGCAAGCGTTAAACAAGATGGAATACTCCTCCACAGTTATAGACTCTCTTATCTTTGTGCAAGTTTTCCACCCTCTTGGCCTATATAAGAATTTGGACAAAATTCTCCTACCGGCATCGGAATGGATCAGCCCTGAAAACTAAACAGTCCAGGCCCCCTGGATTTCTGCTAGATGGCCTAGATTTGGGCCTACATCCTCCCATCATCATACCTCACATTGTATTGTTAAAATGTGTCTAACACAGACTCTTCTAAGTCTTGTGAGAGATCAGCTGAGCCGGACGGCAGTACCTCTATCCAAAACCACAGTTAGGCCAATTTTCTGAATCTGGGTGCTGACCACAGTGGTACAGCTGTCATCCTTGTGAACTGATGTCATCCAGTTCCTTTTATTTCCTTTCCGTAAAGACATGCTCCCTGGTCACAATCACATCTCCTCTGCTCTTGAAAGACACTGAACTTACTGTATCTTCCGTGAGGATTTACTATATCTCTAGGGTCATACTCCAGAATAATTCACAACTAAGTTTAACTTTTCCTTCCCTATAGAGTAAGGAGTTTTTCTCCCAAAGTTTCAGTGCCCACAAGATAAAGTGTGGCATATGCTGTATGCAAGAAGAGCAACTAAAATGTATCTTAGCAGAACTGTTCTATCTTTATTGTTTCTTCCCACTCTAAATGATTGGGCCTGAAGGTACCCTAATCCTCCATAGCTAGCTGGATAAACTGTGGCATCACCAAAACATATTCAGCCACAGATAAACTTATTCCATAAGGGATCACAGTCCATTCAGCATGTTCTGTGGTGGCCTCTGGGGACAAAGGGCATTAGCCATCACAGAGGAAATCTGTAATGCTATCACCATCTGGTCACGCATTACTACGTTAATAAAACACTAAAGGCTTGACCTCATTCCTCTGCAGAAACATCCTTTGCTAGGAAGGTGCTCAGGGCAGTGGTCTCAAAATAGACTAAGACTGCTAATTTACAGAAAAGAGGAGCATTCTTCTAGTGTCCTACTTATCTCTCCCTCCCTACTAATTTTCCCTTATTGATCACTGCTTCCCAGATGCCTTACACAGGGGGAAAGACCAAGGTCCAGAATGGAAAATTTGTTCCTTGACAATTTTCTTTCTGGCACTGATCTCCCCCTTCAGTCTGCCTCACCCAAGGTAAGTTACTTAGGTATCTTTACAGTGGCCTCTTCAGGGTCCATGTACATAGGTGACATAATCAAATAAGGCATTGCTGTTAAGAAGCTATAGTTAAGGTTAAGATTTTGTCACGGTTATTTTTAGTAAAAGTCACAGACAGATCGCAGGCAATAAATAAAAATTCAAGGAAGTCTGCAACTGTGACTTTTACTAAAAATAACGGGAGTGGGGGGAAGAGATGACAACAAATGAAGTCCAAGCTTTGCATGGAGGTGGGGGGAGGACTGAGAGCCTGAGCCCTGCCACGTGGGAAGGGCTCCAGCCACAGCCGTGCGGCTGACAGCAGCAGAGTCCCTGCCCACAGTGCCTCAAAGCTCCAGGCACCCACCACACGCAGCGGCTCAGAGTTCCAGGGCCAGCGGCTCAGAGCTTCGGGGCCCCACCGCCTGCAGTGGCTCAGAAGTCCGGGGGAAGAGACTCGGAGCTCCATGGCCCCTGCCATCTGTGGCAGCTCAGAGCTCTAGGGCCAGCGGCTCAGAGCTCCAAGGGCACGGGGTTGAAGCTGAAGCAGAAAATGTCACAGAGGCTCTGAAAGCCATGGAATCTGTGACTTCCATGACCTCCATGATAAAATCTTTTCCTCAGTTATAGGAACAATAAGTTCCTGCCACTAAGGATCTCACATATCCATATAGCCATGGCAGTACTTATCTTGAGCAAGGATGGAAGGGATGTGGCAAAGACACATGCACATGTGTGAACTACCTGTGGTATTTGCAGAAAAAGAGGTTCAGCCCCAATTTTTCAGACTAGGGGAGAGGTCAGTCCCAGAAAGGAAATAATCAGGTTACAAATTGTCCGTATTTTATTACAGAAAGCAAAGAACAGCAGGCTGCTAAACTGAACCCAACAAAGGCTCATTGCAGCAAAATATTGTGGCTAAATTATTCTTCACTAACTTAACTGGAATTACACCAAGGTTGAATGTGGCCCTGTATATTTTGCTGTGTTCTCTACCGAAAGAAATCAAATATGGATCATTTCAATCAGTATGTGGAGATCCTTTCAACTTAATATGCTTGGTCTTGAGAATATTAGGAATGTTTTCATTGTTATAATTCAGGGACCGATCTTGCATTGCCTGTGCACTATGAACTTCAATGCTGGGAGTTTTGAATGCACAATAAATGAGGGACCAGGCCCTTACTCTTTTGGGTTTTTTTTTTCCTAGTTGTACCTTATTTCTGTTGAATGTTAGAAACTGTGTAATTCATACAAGGTCAATTTCCTGCTATACATATCCAGCCCTAAGTTAGGTAAAAGTGTAGCTGAAGTTAACAGGAGTCTTACCTATGTAAGCAATGAGTAATGGAGGCAGGATTCAGCCTATATAGTTGTAGAAATGTAACTAGAATTTGATAAGCTAATGCAGAAACATGTAAAATATATTCTTTCATGGAATTTAAAATCTTGTTCTCTTATGAATGCAGAAGTTTAGAAAGTTAAATGTTGTTAGAGGCTCACAAATTAAATCTGAAATTGTACATAAACTGTTACCAAAAACATTCTGCATGGGGTCCAACTATCTGATGTTTTACTCAGAGTTCTTATAAACATGCCTCTTGTTTCCAGATATATTATGTTGTTTAACAGAGCTGTTTTGTTCTGTCTTTATTGCCATGCTTCTTTATAGTACAAATCTGAATAGGAACACAACTGAAGGTAATGCCACATGTGCAAAATACGGTACCTCATTGACATTATTTACAACAAATATTACATCACATGTCTGATGTAATAGACATTCAAAGGAAGCTTCAAAGAAGTGCCTACAACTATATTTTCCCATTTATTCATATACACAGATAATTTTTACTAAACCTGCACAACCCCATAATTAAGTCTTATCACAATTGTAACTAATTTTACATTCTCCATTTGTCTGTCTAAAGGCAAAATAGTTGTTAGCAGATAGTAAACAAAACATGTATAACTAATGTGCTTTTTATTTGATTTAGCAGATAGCAACAATGGTACAAGTGTGAACCAAACAAACTTGAAAGAACATACCTTTTCATCCCCTGAGCAAGCTGCACCTTCTTCAAATTCTACATCTCTGCATAAAAACGCTACTTCCCAGAGTGACACCAGAATTGGCAGTTCTACAGAATCACCTGTACATGAACATGCAGAAAGCTTTGACTTTGTAAGTGGGATAGCTGAAACAAATCACTCCACAGAATATCAGAAAAGTCACCTTTCCAATGAACCTGTTCATATAAGGCAGGATTCAGTTTTTGATCTTGATACAGAAAAAATACAAGATACAAATTACACAGATGAAAAGAGAGAAGAGGAGACTGGAGGATGTAAAAAGGAGAAAAAAATACTGTCAGGAAGTTGTGTTTCTGGAAAGAAACAGGAGTTTGACAATAATAAATATGATGTCATTATGAGCAGTACTGTAACCACTTTTTCACTGACTGATATATCTTCCACCATCTGTTCTGACAACTACGATTTGCACTCGACTGCAGCTCTGCAAGATAGTGATGTTTCTCGTCTCATAGATGAGGTTTCTTTGACAAACGAGAGCGAGATGAGTAGTTCTGTCTCAGCACTGATTGGACAGTTTGATGTTACAGATGACCGAACTAATCTGACTGTTGTTTCAAGTCTTCATGGCACCAACAACCAAACCTTCAGTGTGGTGTCGGCACATCCACACATGTTTACTGTTGATCTAAGTACACCCCTTAAACAAAACTTTACCAATGTAAAATCTGTTGAAGCACCATTATTCTCAACACCAGATACTGCTATGTTCTCCAGCCCTGAGACGACAGAGTATTCTGTGTACACAATTATCCACGAGGCATCTCTTTCACCAGCCTCTGATTGTAAACCAATAGATGAACGAGCTCGCAAGAAGTCAGACTGTGTGGAAAATAGCCTTCCAGTGTCCCCTTGCACTTCCCCTCTCCATTTGCTAACAGCAAATCCCAAAAGGAAGTGTGGAACAAATTGGGAAACCCTTGAGGATTGCAGTTCCTACACTTTGGAGGATACAATAGTTGACCCTCCTGCTTGTATAACCTCAGCAGGCAGCAGTCTTATGGAAGTCGATGGGGATTCCCAAGACCTCCTGATAACTGCATATGAATTCAAGAGAGAAGATATGAGCCAACTTGCTGCTTCTTTGAAACTGAAGCATAATCAGGACTCAGTACACTACTGTGAGAGAATCTCTGGGAATAATTTAATCAATGAGGACCCTCACAGTGCTGCCCTGGATAATTCAAATAATTTTAGGACTGCAAGAACTCAAAGTTTTCCTTACCCAGCATTTCAGAGTGTTGGCTTTTTGCATAATAATTATCTGCAAACTTTAGATACACAAAATGATTTGTTGTATGTCTCCCAAAGATCCAGACTTAATATGCATTCACCTACACCCAAGAACACTTTGCCCTACCCTCCTACTGCAGCCGTCAAACAGCCTAGTCCTTGCAAATCCAAGAGCCTGGGAGACTTGACATCAGAGGATATCTCCTGCAATTTTGAAAGCAAGTACAAATACATAAGTAGAAGCTTTATTACATCTGGCATGAGAGACAAGAAAGTTGCAGCTATGAAAACTAAGAGACCACAATCTACGGACACTCTGACAGAACAATTGCGAAAACTGGTGTCCTTTGACCAGGAAGACAACTGTCAAACTTTGTATTCTAAGCAGAATGACGATGATTGCCCCAAGGCATTGGTCAGAAAACTGTCATCCAGAAGTCAAAGCAGAGTACGCAATATTGCTAGTCGTGCCAAGGAAAAACAAGAAGCCAACAAGCAAAAACTTTCTAATGCTAGCAGCATAGCAGGGGTAGTTTTAAGAAACAAACCATCAGTATCAGCTCATGTTATCAACAGGCATTCCACTGGCTCTTACATAGCAAGATACCTGAATGACTTCAGTGGGGAGGATCTAGAAGGTCGGGGTGTACCAGAGGGCGCATGTACTTCTTTGCGTTATGGATGCAATGACCAGTTTTGTACAGATGATTCCGTTTTGCAGATGGAGCCAAGCAGTGATGATAAACCAGAAATTTATTTCCTTCTGAGACTGTAAATTGTATACATGTACATGTCAGTGTTTACAAACTATTTCATTGAATGAAGGATTTTTAGCAAGAAGTATAGTCCTTGACTTTTAAATTATTTAGAAATGCAATTTTAAGCTAACGATTCAGTCTTGATTTAATGTGCGGTTTCCTGTCAAAGATTATGTAAATAGATTCTGTGATCCTTTCTTATGTATGTATGTATTTTTATTCAGAAATGACAAAGTGAATTATTTGCATGCAATAGATCTGAACCTTCACAGTGTCCTGTATTTGTAATGCACGTAAATTTTAAGAATAGAGTTCTGCACGTCTGTGCACATCAGCAGAGCTCAGCAATTAATGCAATAAATATATTGCTTTTTTCCCTAGACCTTTTAGCTGCTTGCAGAGAGAATTTTAGGAGGCCACCTTTTTGGACCCCATCTTGGAAATGCTACTTAGGATAATGCTTTCTGCCATCAGTAGTCAATGGGACTATTGACGGTGGGCATCACTATGACCAATAATAAGTGTTTTCAGGATTAGACGCGTCATTCATAAAGCTGTTTTCTATCTTAATTGTATTTACATGTTTGTTAATGTTGATTTTAAGCCTTTTCATACATGAACTACAGATTTGTAGCATTAGGACTCATTCAAATTTGCAAGTAACTTGTAGATCGTCTTCTGCTCTTTAAATGAAATAGTATGGTAACTTTTTCTTCCTCTTGTTGAGTGCTTATTTCTGGATGGGAGTGTGATGAAAAGGAATGTTCTTATACATAGACTTCTTCCAGCATTCCTGTTCACCCTATTCCCATCCTGAAATGAGCATTCAACAAGTGGAAGAAAATCTTGCTTTCCAAATATTTTGTTATGTATTTTTGATATTGGCTGTATATGTAACTTGAATACAGTAGCAGAGATGTTTTCTATGTTTGTAATTATATGCTACATTGTTGATTGTCAGTATAGTAGTTACTACATACATAGCAGGATAAGTAGTTTGGCTTCCATCATCACATGGTTTTGAGAAAAGGGCTTTTTCTGCATTATGTTGAAAACCAAGTGAGTTAATTACAAAAATACACAAAACTTCCCTGAAGGGAGCAAGATAGCTTTATTTTGGGTTTAAGATATACTTTGCTGTCACTGTGAACACATTTTGCATTATATGTAAAAGACCTTTTACTTCTTTTCTTTTGTAATACAGGATATTATTATTCATGGAGACATCATTACAATAGATTTTTATGCACCTGGTGCATATTTAGTGATGTTACAGCAAATGCAATTACTGTTGAACTTGTGGCAGTCAGTGATTGCAGACATTTGTCTTGTCATGCATTTGCAATAAACCTTTATAAAGGAAAAACCTTCTTATTTCAGATGGTGGCCATAATTCTAACTAGTAATTTACAACTCAGAACATTCTGTTTTCTAAAGGGGAGAAAAGCATCCAATGTTGCTAAACAATTCTGATAGGAAGTCATATTTACTGAGTATTTCTATAATTACCAGTTAGAAATGACAGTGCCATATTTACCATTTTTCTATTCTCTCCCTATAGAAGGTTCTCCTAATCCAATATTTTTCAATGGAATGTCCCTACTTTTTGCGTCAAAATGCCTGTTTGTAGATTTTGAATGTTAGCTGATACAGTGTGTATTTTTAATAGATCTATTTTTTTTGGCTCTCCTGATTGTTTTTTTTTTTTTAACCAGTCTGATTTTTTTAACCAGTCACGTGACAAAAATATTTTGTGCTGTATTCCTCAGCTAGAGCAAATCAAATCAAAACATACACACAGGGATAGTAACTATACGGATGGAATCACGTCCAATATAGTCTCCAGCTCTATTAGCTGCTGCTAAATCCCTGTGTTCAGTGACAATATTGGGAGCCCTCCAGTCCCCCTGTCCAGTGCTCTTAGGGTACATTTATACTGCAGGTGGAGCATGCCTCCCTGCCCGGGTAGACAGGGTTGCGCTAGCGGGGCTTGAGCGTGTACACTAAAAATAGCAGCGTGGAGGTTGCGGCTCTGGTGAAGACTCGGGGTACAAATCTGAGCTCAGACCTCGGGCTGGGTGGGCTTGAGAGCCTGAGCTGCTGCCCAAACCACAACTTCCACCCTGCTATATTTAGCATGCTAGCTCGAGCCCTGCTAGCATGAGTCTGTCTGCCTGGGGTAGGATCTAGCTCCCTGATGCAGTGTACATACACTGCTAGTACCCCAGCCCGAAGGTACCAGGCAGCTGCAATTGCAAGGTGAGTGGGCTGGTGCTGGTTCAGATCATGACTGTCTCTCTTTCAGCTATAAGGCTATCAGGATAGCAGAGCACTGTGGACCCCCTCTAAGGGCTTGAGCCAAAGCCCATTAAAATCAGTGGGTCTTGGATCAGGCCTGCAACCAGGCTGAAGGTGGCCAAACAAAGGATGAAATGAGTGAAGGACAAGAGCCAGAGAAGTAAGGGGCTAGGGAAGCAAGGGCAGGAAGAGAATGGTAGCTGGGGAATTTGGGAGGGGGCAAGAGGAACAATTCAAGGAATGTAAAACAAATATTGACTGGCTTTCGGGGGAGAGTAGCAGCATAAAAATGCTTCAAGGCAAAAACAAAAACCAACATAACAATGGCACATGTTGCCCTTTGGCTTTAGGCTCTGCACTACAACCACAAGAGCTATTCTTTCTCATTGACAATATTTTAGTGCTATTCCCATTGGAGCTAGACAGTGTTTGTGTTGGAGAACCTCTTGAATGTATGCAAGGCACTGTCCAAAAAAATTCGGACTAGGATTATAGAATACTGATTTCAATGAATGCAGGATTTTAATGCAGTTGGATGCCTTCTACCAAGCACTAATATTGCTGTCTGCTTAATCTGATGTTTTACATTTTGTTCAGATCCCTCACTCTAGATGAATGCATAATGCATAACGCAACTTCATGTACATTTGTCTCACTTCAGTGTTAATTTCCTAGGGAACAAATATGCTATTTCAAAGCATTCATGAATATTATGACTCTGAAACTTGTGCAAAATATGTGAATGAAAAACAGGAAGCCCTTGAATAGTACTTAATTATGCCAACTGCTTTGGAAAAATTATGTTTATTTTGTGAGATTAAGTAGGTCACTTGTTTTTCTTTGTCATTGTTTTTTGCATTAAAAACACATGTTGCTGTGATTATACAATGTATCAACACCTTTTTATTCTTAGTTTTGTTCTTAACAGTCGGTTTCAGTGTTTACAAATGCAGCAAGGGCAGGAATCTTGCACTAGCCAAGTGATTGATATATGTGACTTCGAATCAGCTATCCTAACTGCAGAATTGTTCTTTAGTCATGCTCACTTGGATAAAGGGAAATGTTAACAGGCTTCTTTCTAACTATGGAATGCTTTTACTAATGGAGTTGAAATCATACACTGGGATCTGAATCCCCTGGAATTTTGGATCCAGATCCAGAGATTGGGCCTATCCCAGTAAGAGAGATCCCTTTTGGATTGATTGATCCAAACTTCCTAACTTTGGAGAGGTTCAGAAACAGATCAAAACTCTAAGCCTTTTGCCCATCTCTAGTCTACCAGTAGATGCTAACCCTGGTACTATTTGCGGGCCCAACAATTTCCTCTGGACTACTTACAGAGCAAGGTGTTACTCAGCATAAGTAAAGGTGGCAGAATCTGACTTGGTGCCTCCTGAGAAATAGTTTCAGCTTTCAAGTCACACTGTGTGGCTTAAGCAACAATATTGACCATTGAAGTGACCATTGACTGAGTGATAGGGTGAACAAGTGGTGTGACTGCTCTGTCATATTGGGTATCCTTTGTCATTCTGTGTCACAAACACTCACCAAACTATTTCCTGTCCTCATTAGTAGGACCTGAAAACTCTGTATAGCTCATTCGGGGGACATACAGGGAGGAGAGACTTATGGGGGTACAGTCCTTCAGTTATGTTAACGTGTGATAATTGCAGCTCAATTTAGGTAATGAACCAAATGCCTATTGGTAAAACATATGCAGTGTAGACTCAGGCCAAGCTCCTTGTTTCAATGTTTTTTCTGTTTATGTGGAATATCACAGAAATGCAATATGAAACTCTGTTACAGAGCCTCCATTCTGATAACAAAATAGTTCTGTATGCCAGAATCCATAAGTGCCTGAATGCTTTTTGCCCTTAAATGCTTTGTTGCCTTCAAAAGGTCTTGTCACAATATGTAGGGCAGGTGAGGGGGGAAGAAGTACACACATCCACTGTCATAAATTTCTGTTCTTGAATAATGATTGGTGTTGTGTGGGTCTGGGAGGTGGGAGCTGACAAGAAAGACTGTTTTAGGTCTATTTGACTAAGCAGTGCCCTACGAGAGAGAGGTTTTTAGGTCAATAAAAGCCTTCAGTCTGGAAAGATGGTGCTTTCAGAAATTGATTGAAATAGATTTGCTGCTTGAAAGCGAAATACATTCATAGACCTACAAATCCGGGACAAAGCTATTCTCCTCTAACGGGATTTGCAAGCCCCATGGCCTGACACACCTCAGCTTGTCTGAATGTACAATACTGCACAGCCAGCTATCCTAGAGGGCCTAATACAGACGTTTGTTACTTCCTCAAGGCATTTTTAAGAATGGAAGCAAATCTTTACATACTTAGAATTAGAGAGAGGTCTGAACCAAAATCCCAGATCAGACCCTTTAGTGGATAGTGCCTTTCCTCAAAAAATTATGGAAGAAAAATAGGTTTATAATAAGGGTAAATACTGTACATGATAAGAAAACAGTATTAATTATTAGAGTGTCTGAAACCAATTCAATATTTTATTATTATGACAAACACCCCCCTTTGTTAGGCTCAGTCCTTCTGACGGTTGCTGAGTCCCATCTGATTCCTTTTAATTCGGGAGGAATTGAGAGAGCTAAGCCTCTGGAAGGAGGTCCTCGATGTCCAGGAAGGTTGGGCCCTTAATGAAGTTATGTTTGTGGATAATGGAGGTAAAGGGCATTTCCAAAGGCCTTCCTGTATTCT